TAGATAATTTAGAGTTTAGATAAATTTAGACAAATTAGAAGTTTGGGGTTAACAGATACACACTACTATATATAAAATAGATAAACAACAAGGACCTACTGTATAGCCCAGGGAACTATATTTAATATCTTGTAATAACCTATAATGGAAAAGAATCTGAAAAAGAGTATATATATACACACACACATATATGTATACGTATAGATGAATCACTTTTCTGTATACCTGAAACTAACACAACATTGTAAATCCATTATACTTCAATTAAAAAAAGAAAAAAAGTTAGCATTTTTATATTTCCCCTTCGTAACTCTACTACTTCTCAGAAAATGGTCAAGCCCCAATTAGAAATCTAACTTCCTTTGGGTTTTGTCATTTATCACAGAGATAAAGATGAATTGAGAATAGAAATCTCAAAATGCAATAATGATAGTACTTTATATTTCAGTAGCACGCAGTATATATAAAATAGTTCAGTATTTGTTATTTAAATTCAGCAAGTGTGCAACAGAAAGAGCAATATAAGACTAAATTAGAAGTTTGCTTTGCAGAATAAACTATTGCCAGTATATTCTGCTCAACTGTGTATTGGTAGCATTTGTAAACAGTTCATTCTTACATTATTTTTCCTAAAAAACCTGTTGCAGAATTATTTTGCTTCTTTCCCCCTCTTTGCAGAGTCTGTTAAATTTTAGCAATTCTAAATCAGAATAGCATCTAATAGACAACACGTGGAATGTGTTGGCTGTTAATTCAAACGTTTTTATGGCATATTCATTAGACAAATACGTAATATTTATAAAGTCTGTCCAGTAATTAAAAGAAATGGATGAATATGTATCACTATCTTGTTTTTTTAGCAAAAGAAATAATTCACAGTAAGCGTTTCTAATTATGTCAGCTAAACGTTTATAGTGCTTGAATGATAATATTTGTTGTTTCTATCGTTTAGATTTTATAGATAATTTTTGGACAGAAATGCTTCTTTCGTGTTGAAGTGTCTGTGCCTTTACACATACATTGCAGATTACTGAAACAATAATTTGCCCTTCAGCTGTAGTGAATAAAACTCTCCTTTATCCTTAGTTTGCTGAGGACCTCTCTGATCACCTTTCTGTGGCCTTACAGAGATGCTAATGCTAATTAATGTTTTAATAGGAAAAAATGTTGGCAAATAAAACTGTTAAGTTTGAAGCATGAATTATAAATTCACCTTGGTTGTCCTAATGATAATGTTTATAGAGTGCTTCCAGTATGCTGAACTCTGTACTAAATATTTTACTTATGGAGACTTCCCTGGCGGTCCAGTGGTTAAGACTCAGCGCTTCCACTGCAGGGGGCACGGGTTTGATCCCTGGTTGGGGAGCTAAGATCTCGCATGCCGTGCAGCCAAAAAAAAAAAAAAAATTATTTTTTTACTTATATATAATTTTATATATATGTGTAATATATATACTTATATATATTATTATATGTATGATAATATATACTTATATATTATTTGAATATAAATATTTTACATATATATGCTTATATATTGTTATATGCATATGGTAATATATATACATATATATTATTTAATTTTCCCAATTACTGTGTGAGGTGGGTGTTATTATGCCCATTTTACAGATGAATTTGTAACCATTATGCCTCACAACATTTAATAATAATTTAAATATACTATATTAATAATATATTGATATTTTAAATATGCAACTCTGGAGCTTTACACATATTTCATATATCTATAAACTTTCTTTTGTTCATTCAACAAATATTTATTTACTGACTATTTATGTGCCAGGCTGCTATGCTAAACTCTGGGGAGAGTGGGATGAGGCAGTACCCACCCCCTCTTGCCTTTAAGGGACTTAGCAATGTACTGGGAGAGATGAACTTGGCCTAAGACACAAGTACAAGAAAATATGATAATTGCTTTAATAGGAGTAGGTACAGGGTATTGTAGGAAAATGGGAGAAGGGCACCTCAGCTCCCCAGAAGGTTTAAGAGAGGTCTTCACAGACAATCAGCCCTAGCTCTGAAACTTGAAGAGTGAGTCTGAGTTTGAAAAGATGATCAGAGAGAAAAGTGCAGAGGGGAAAGAATAGACCAGGGTGTGGGCAGGAGCCGGAGCCAGGCAGGCTTGGTCAGGCAGCTACAGGGATTCAGAGGGGCTGAGTGTCAAGTGCAGCTGGAGGAGGGCCATCGTGGCTGAGGTCAGATCACAAGGAGGCTGGCCTGCTGTTCTAAGGAGGGCGGACCTTGTGCTCTGTGTGTTGAAAAGCCATCAGCAGATTGATTCAACAAACACTCATTAAATTATGATAAGGGATGTCCTTCTCCCCCCCCCCTTCTCATTTATTCATTCAACAGATTTTTAGTGAGTGCCTATAACATGCCTAGCATTGTGTTGAACAATGAGGATAAAAGCATGAGCAAGAATTTGACACAGTTCTGCCTTCCTGGAACTTACTAATTAGTGGGGGAAACAAGCATTCATCGTGAATTTAGCAAAAAAAAAAAAAAGTAAAATTACGAAGGTGACCAGTGTAACAAGGAAGAGAGTGATTCTGTAAAAGCATGTAGTAGGGGGTAGTGACCTGGCCGAGATCAGGAAAGCCTCCCTTGAGGAGAAGAGGACTGAGCTGAAGGAGGAAAGAGTACAAGGTCATTTGATGAAGAAGGTGGGTGATTCGGGGAGACGTCTCAGCAAGGAGGAGATCATGTGCAAAGGGTCTGAGGCCTAGAAGAGCTAGGTACTTTTCAGGAATGAAAAGTAAGGCAGAAGAGCTGCATGCAGGCTGGAAAAGAATGCAAGGGCTGGATCACACTGGGCCCTGGGAGCCATGGTCAGAATCCAAGCTCTCTGGAAAGCTGCTGCAGTGCTTTGGGCAGGTGCTGAGGATGGGCTGTAGGAGAAGGGGCTGTAGGGTGGCAGGGAAGGAAGCAGGGAGACTGAATGGGAGGGCAGCAGAATAGTCCAGATGAGTCGGGATGGTGGGCAGCCTGGAGCGGAGGTGGTGGTCGGGAGAGAAGGAGAAGGGTGTGTGCTGGTGGCAGACTCAGTGACTGGATGGTTGGGAATGGGGCATAGTTTGGAAAGGACAATGTCAGGGTGATGTCGGTGCCATTGCTGAGCTAGGGAAACATAGGAGGGGGCAGAACCCCCTCTGCTTGGATTCCCGGAAAACCTCAGGAGAGGTGGAGAAAGACATCAAAAGGAATTGAGATTGGAGGTTGGCCTTGAAGAATGAGTAGGCATTTTCTAGTTGGCAAGGAGGGGAAAGGCATGCTAACCAGAGGGAGTGGCAGGTTCAGAGGCACAGAGGCATAACCAGAATAGTGCAAACAAATAATGGCATCCGCACACAGGTACAAAAGGGAAGTTAATATGTGACCCATAAATAACTGTTGATTTCTTGATACGCTCATGTCTATTTTGTGTGCAGTCATCCTAAGACCTATAGTAGGCAGAGTTTGTAAATAGGTTAAAATGTTTACGTGTTTTTTTTTATTCCATGGACATAATATATAGAAATTCCTCTCTTTACTTCCATATTTTAAAGTAAGGATTCACATATGGCTCTTGATTTTATTATCTGCTTTCTTTCTAATGAAATTTAGCCATTTGGGTAGGACTTCGACTTTAGGTAGCATCTGGATTTGGGATTAATCGACATTTTAAATTTACTGAAATAACTATAAATTTACTCCTGATGGACATATGATCATGTTGATTTCAGTTTAGCTTGGAAACTAAAATCAAAAGACAATCAAATTCAAAAAGAGTTAGTAATGCCAAGACGTAGGTGACATATTGACTCTGGGGAAAAATAAGGTGACATTGAATTAATATTTAACTTTTTTATAATGAGTACAAGAGTGCTGATAATCAGATCAATTTTGGAGACGTGATAAAGCACTGAAATTATGAGCATAGCTTGCGTGAAAGATAGTGGCTTAAATATTGCCTTTAACATCTGCTAGCCCTACAAATGCCCAGTTTTCTTGTCAATAAGAGAGATAATAATGATTACTAGCTACCTCACAGCGTGCGGTGGAGTGGAGTATTGTATGTAAAGCATTCGCACAGTGCCAGGAACACAGTCAGTGTTCAATAAATGTCCGTGATGACTTTGAGTATCAGTGATACTGTGCTTCACCTGAGTCATCAACAGAGGGGCACGTACAGTTTCTAAAGTGAAAGTCAAGGGCTTCCCTGGTGGCGCAGTGGTTGAGAATCTGCCTGCTAATGCAGGGGACATGGGTTCGAGCCCTGGTCTGGGAAGATCCCACATGCCGCGGAGCAACTAGGCCTGTGAGCCACAACTACTGAGCCTGCGCGTCTGGAGCCTGTGCTCCGCAACAAGAGAGGCCGTGATAGTGAGAGGCCCGCGCACCGCGATGAAGAGTGGCCCCCGCTTGCCGCAACTGGAGAAAGCCCTCGCACAGAAACGAAGACCCAACACAGCCCAAAATAAATTAATTAATTAATAAAATAAAAAAAAATATAAAGTGAAAGTCAGGCTGTTATGGTAAATACATGTACCAAACTTGCTTACCTTTGTGGCTAGAAAGAATCTTAGAAAGCGTTGGATTCAGTAATGTTTCTGATTCTGGGGAAGAACTGTTTTTCATTTCTCAGAAGTTTTGGGATCAATTAGAGAAAGAGGGGAAGGAATAGGGTTATTTTGATGGTGTTATTCCTAAGGTCAGGAGATGGGCTGGGAAGCAACCGCCTGGCAGGCAGAGCCCTCTCATCCTCAGAGGTGAGGACCTGCTGTGTGTCTGCTTGCTGAGTTTTTGGTATTCTGAATTGTCTCATGTGTGTTATCTCTGTGTGTGTGTGTGTGTGTACATGTGTGAGAGAGAGAAAGAGAGAGATAGGGAGGGAGAGAGATTATGCAAATATGTTTTTCTTCTCTGAGAATTCAGCTAATGTGAATGAAGACCACAGAAAACTGCCTAACTCAGTGGGAATATTGTTTTTGTAATTACAGGTCTAGGCTTTTTGTATTGAGTTTCTCTACTGTCTCCCCTTCTGCTCAAGCAAAATCTGTGTGAAAAGATCTGCCGGGAAGGAGCTGACTGCTTATGATTCTCCATTGTGATGAAAGCACATGGTACAGGTAAATATCTCCGAAATCTTTAACCGAAAATAACTATTATTTGACTGTAAAATCTCTAAGATAGTGGTGGGGATGTTTACATGTCTGTTCACACACACACGCACACACACGGACAACATAAACATACATCTGTAGATTCACGTGTCTTCCATCTGTTTGTTCTCTCCACCTCTATAAAAATGGAACCCTTGCTTTTTTGTGGGAAAGAAATTAACTTCTATTCATTTTGAGCTCACTGACTTGGATGATGACAAGGCATTAATAAGTAATGGATAACTCTGGTCATTGTGTTTATAAATTCAGCTAGAGAGTCTACCATCAGATGGTAGTGGTGAACAGTGCAACATATGCTATCACCTAACCTTTCTCTTCCTCTCAGCAATGCAATAATGAACATCTTTTCATTACCAGTTATTTATCTACAAATATATAGCATACCACTGAATACATATCCTAAAATACATTTAATTGATCTTCTCTAGTTGGACATTTAAGTTGTTTCTAATTTTTTTTTTTTTTTTTTTTTATGCCACCAAGAATGTTCTTATGGCTTCATGTTAGTTGCCATTATTAATGGTTTCCTTGGGATACTTCCTTAGCAGTAAATTGCTAAATTTAAGAGTTTTCAAGTTTTAAGACTCTTGCTACTTGTTGCCAAATTACTTTCCCATAAAGTCAGACCAGTTTATATTTCCAGAGGCGCAGTATATGAGAGACCTACTTCCATATAGTTTTGCCAGTGCTGAGAATTTTGAAAACAAAGAGTCTTTGCCAGTTGATTCTGAGAAATGGTGCCTCTGTGTGTCCCTTTTTTGGGTGTGGTGGTTGTGAGGGAGGGGGCATTTATTTGTAAATAATACTATTTTGAAGAACCTTTCTTCTGTAGACAGTAGCATGCTTGAAACTTACCAATAGTTAACATTTGAGAAATAATACTAAATCAAGAAGCATGGAAGGGTCCTAGACAACCATGAGATCACATACTTTTTCAATGGAAAACATAATTTTTTATTATTTAATGAGAATGAAAAGGTATTTAATAAAAAGCAGCCATCATTAAACATGGACCTGAAGTTAATATACATGTATGTGTGTGTATATATATATATATGTACATATGCAGGTGTGTGTATATGTGTGGGTGTGTATGTATGCATACACATACATATGTGTGTATGTATAACACTATATACACATATGTGTGTCTGTATACATACACATATACCCATCGAACATTGGGAGTAGGATGAAATATAATTATGGTCGTACCGTATGATTCAGGGGCTGTGGATCACAGTCGATAAGACGGCAGGTTCCAGACTGCCTCGGCTCAAACTCCAGCTCTGCTATTTTCTTGAAGTATGGCCTTGGGCAAGTTACTATACAGCTCAAAGTCTAAGTTTATAAAATTTAGATAATACTAGTACCCATCTCATAGGGTGTTTTTACAAGGAACTATATATGAGATCAGTTAAAAGTCCTATTCCAGAAGAGTATTTAATGCTATGAGAAGATGGTCACGATCAAAGTAAAAAAAGCAAAGTATGACACTAACCATGGTACAATCCCATTCTTGTAAAACTGTTTTTTCCCTTCTTCCTCCTTTGTTTCATCCTCCTCTGGGATCCAAAAAAGGTATAATGTATTTCTGAATGGCTTTTATTAGAATTAATGGAGTAATCCCAGTTCTGGAGAAACTGGCTGACTGAAGTCTGCAAGTCAGAGACCCATTCACCACAGAGCTATGAAGTCAAAACTGTCTATGACACTGACCAGTGGGTCCCTTGGAGCAGCCCTTATGTGAGAACAGAGCCTCATCCCCACCCCCGGCTGCCTGACTCCTGAGATACAGCAAGGACCTTGGATAAGGCCAGCTTCCTGGCCCCTTGGAGCTGCACTGAATCTCTAACGGTCCAGCTCCACACATGAGCTGCCCTGCTAGGCTCATCTTGTTCTCCCATTACTAAATAAGTTTCCTTTCACAAGGGCGAGTCCCTCAACCCTTGAACCACATCATAAGGTTGCAATGTAGAAGGGAAAAGAGTCAGAGTGTGATTTAGCATCAAGGAGACAAACCCACGGCGACTTGTCTGGCTTCAGCTAATGCTTTTCACCGGAGACTCTGCAAGTCTTGTGTATGTACATTTGTTTTGGCCCAAATTTCCAGTCTAATTTGAACAGCTCTGTACTTTTCAGTAAAAAAGGAACATCTGAATTCCCAATTAAGACAGTTTAGCTTAAGAATTCCTCTTTAGTGGACCATAAATTATTCTCCTCGTAATGATTACGAGGACGCATAAGAAAATGAAACTTGTGTTTATGCACGTACATATGTTATTTCAACAAAATTAATAAGTTCACAAAGGGAGAGAGGACAATGAATGTGTCAGCAAATATAGGTCAGCAAAAGAGTGCGTCGTGTTCTGCCAGACTCCAGCGAGCTGAGGTAGAAAGGCTGAGCATCTCCGTAGTAAGGGCAGTGATAACAGCGCCATATGGGATGTTTGGTATTTGGATAGCACTTTGATTCCTCCCCAGCTACAGAATCAATAGGGACTCAAACAGAGAGGAAGAAAGGATTCTCTAGCTGTGCATGCTGGTGTGCAAAAATGCAGACACGTTGATTAGTAGGGGCTTACCAGGATGAAATTTCTTTAGGGAGGCAGAAGAGTGGGGAATATTTAACCACATTTCACAGCAGTTTTGGGTTGTCTCCATAACCAGACCATTGTTGCAATCATGTGGGAAAGTTCTCTGCAAGACCAGGCCAAATCATTCTTGAGAACTCAATTCAGAGAGTCCCATAGGACCTTTGGGGTGCCTTCGGGCTTTGCCAGAACAGAGTAAGAGCACAAATTTTGAATTGGAAGAAACTGAGATGATGTCTGTAAATTCTGATCTCATTTAGTCATTCATCCCTCATTTATTCATTCAGAAAATACCTGTTTGGGGGCTACGATATACTCACACAGTTCTAAACACTGGAGATATGGGATGGGACAAGGTAGACAACGGGCCTACCCTGATGGAGCTTTCATTTCTAAGGCAGATACCGTCGGCAGCATCAGAACCTGGTTTGGGTGAACAGGGGAGATGATCTGGACCATTCTAAAAGGAGGTCTAGAGTGCATCTGAAATGAGAGAGTGGAGAAACCAGTGGAGAAAAAGACCTGTTGATCCTGAAGGTGCAGGCAGAAAGAACTAGAGGAGAGGGGCTAGCAGTGAGGTTGTGGTCACTGAAAGCAGGACCAGATTGGGACGTGAAGAAGGTGCCGAGAGAAGACAAGTGTGAAACTTGGCTTGGATGCACAATTGTTGGAGCCCATAAAAATCATGCGGCCACTGATCTCTCAATTTAGGTAATAGAAATAAAGCTTGCTATCGATAATCTGTCTTTTAACAAATTGTGAAATGGATGTTTTATTCTATGACTGTATAAACATGTGAGACAGGAGAGTGGATGGCTCATGGTATATAGGGTGGTACTTTCTTTTTTCAACCACACCCAAAAGAATGACATCCCTATTCTTACCTTATCCACCATCCTTCACGTTAGAGAGCGAGATTAGTTCTATGATCAATTTTCCCTTCTGTGGGCAACCACAGTTAACTTTATTTAGTTAACTTTAAACAGATTTAACTTCTGGATCGAAATAGTCTCTCCAGTTGTCACCTCTTGGCCTCTTTAGTATTTTGGTACCCTTCCACTCAGCTTGTTTGTGGGATTGTGGTTCTTCTTACCTTCCTCCCTTCACTCCTGGTTGCTTTTAGTGGTCTCTTAAATAATAAAATCCACTTAGAGATTTATTTTATCTCCTTTGACCTTCAACATGGGTTTGGTAAAGGCTACATTTTTGGCTTTGGCTTTACTATCATTGAGGGACCCTTTTCTTCTGTATTATTGCTCCCTAGTCAACTGCTTTATTCTGGGGCTCTAACTTCTACCATATATTTTACTCAAATACTTTTCCTTTCTTTGACAAGCCCAGTTCGTTTAGTTTAGTTGCCCATCCCACTCCCAACCCATTCCACCCAAGCCCCCAACACACACACTGGGATTTGCAATGTACACTTCCAAGGTTAAGGAAACCCTACTGATACTCATTAAATCTTTAAAATAGAGATCTTCTCCAAAATCATCTTTTAGCATAAATATGTTCTTCTCTTTTCCACTCTAGTTCCTTCAGTCTGAAGGTAGTCTGCATAACTCATAGCTAGTTTGGGGGAAGGTATTATTTTGAGACACTTTAATGATGTTATTCATGGCAAAATGAAAAACGTAGAGACAAAGACTCCAGGGTACATAGTGTTTTATATGTAGGCATAGCTTTTCAAAACTGTTTTGGAGTGTATTCGAGTATCTAAAATAATTTACCAGACTTCTGTATAAAGCATTTTATTCTTTGAAAAATCTTATAAATAATATAATTTACTGTGTCAGTGTGCAAACATTCCCATAGTTCTCTTACCTTTCATGAAATGAGGTAGAATATTTTGTCATCTGACAGTAAAACACATGAGAAAATGGTTGATACCAAAGCCTACTGTTTTATTTATTTATTTTTTCTTTTCCACGTTGGGATGCTGCAGAGACTTGCTCCCTCCTAATACACTAATGCTGCTCTCAGTGTTGGCAAACTGTGCTATTCAAAGTGTGAGTGATGACTAGATGTAGAAATATCAAAGTGTCAGTATTCTTTGGTACTTTTTAAATTACTCTTTTTTTCTCTTAGAGTTTATCAAATGAGATGAAGTATTTGAGTATGTTTTCTAAATTCTAGAATATTACCTATTATGGCCGTTGGTGTTATAGTATTTAGAGGTTGAAGGGAACGTGAAGATCATTTAGTCCCCTTTTCCCCCAACTCAGGACCCCCTCAGATATCATTAGTGCCTTTCATTTCACTAGGGTTCAGATAGCGAGTCATTGATTGTTCATTGATTATTGAAAGAACCATTATCCCTGTAAGATTTAGAAATAGTATATAGAAATTCGTGGG